GTGTTTGACATGTTAAGTGCGTCCAATGTGTCCGACAAATAGGCCAGCAACAGAAAACGATGGCAGGAGCGATTTAGACACATCTGACGCGCCTCCACATAGACTTTGAATGTAAACCAGATACGCCAAGTGGTACGGATAGAGCAAAATGTCAAGCGTCTGCATTCAAAGTGCAAACGGGTCGAACTGGAAGTGTCGGACGCATTTTTGACGGGCATAATGCGTTTGGTGTGAACGCACCATCATGGCATTTGGCAAAACACTGAGCACCCTCTCTGTGTGACATTATTGCGCCCCTGACTGTGCATGCAGGACACTTTCAGTTTCTTTGAAGTGACATATTTGGAAGTGTGGACTACGATGCTAAAAAAATCTGATGGGACAAAACATCCAAATTGTACCTCTTCAGGCTGCAGTGTGTACGCAGCCTCTGTGTTGTTGCCCTTTTCCAGATAACAGAATCTGCAGACTTGGGTGTCTGAGATCTGTCCTCTGAACTGTGATCGATGAGGGCCAGCAGTCTTATGGGAGTCATGGGAAAGGCTAGTTTGTTTACTCTGCACTTTCGCTGTGGCAGTTTGATTTATACGGTGCTGGTTTCCACCTTGTACTGGGAGCCTCGCTAGGCAAATACAGTAAAAGCGATCTTAAGCAATGAATTTTAATGCACAGAAGAGAACTGGCCCCACATCTGACAGCTGGGCCAAGCCTGAGATGGGAGTGCAGAGAGAAAGGGTGAGGCTGGAAAAGAGATCAGACATTTTTGTTTGTGGTTATAAAAACTGAGAGGTTTTCCAGCAGCCTGTCTCCTCATCCCCTGCTGTGGAAAATACGGTTTGCTCTCTTAAGGCCCAGGGATTGACAGAACGGACCGCTTCACTCGCTTTTCCGAGACAGTAATTTATGCAGATCTCAATTAAAACCTACTGTGACCTCATTAGGCCTTTCAGTTGGATCTAGGAAAGGATGGAGTTAATTAAAACCCATCTCAGGCAATGAGGTGGTTGGTTGCTCAGAGTACCACTCTGAGGGTAATCAATACGTAAGCATAACATTATGATTTACAGAACGTATTTAACCGTCACTCTAAATCAGTTTCCTAAATCATGGGAAAAACATAATGCATCTGCTGGCTGCTGAGGAAAGTAATAGTTCTCATTATATGTTAAATCGTCCCCAACCAGACAAAGAGACATGCAGCATCTTTAGATTGGTTCAATTTGATTGTCACACCAACTTACACAAGCTGGCAGCGAGACAAAAAAAGCTTTCTCTGTGGCTCAAAACACATCAATACTCTGCAGCAAGTTAAAAAATACAACCAACAAACCAACCCAAGCATGCAATATTAAAAGACAAAAAGATAAGGCTTTTGTTCTGCTTAATTATTCATGCAATTTCGATTCTTCGTGAGTGCTGGACTTGAGGCAAATGTTTGGCAAATGGTTTTGGTTTGCATCACCTCAAAGGTGAATTTCTGTGTGTAAAGTGAAATCATATTTGACAAGAGTTAGACCAGCATTGATCATAACCCAGGTGTCAGTTCTGCAGAGAGAATTACCCAGGGGAGTGGAAAGCCTGCCCAACAAAAGAGAATGAAAGGAGACATTTTTTGTTTTCTTTCTTCTGCTTAGAGGCTTCCAGTAGGTGGTTATTAAATCTATTAAAACTCCTTTGAGAAGATGCTTTTTAATCTGGTTGTCACCAAGTTTCAACCCCAACAAAACAACAAATTAATAAAGCAGTGAGTCATTTAGATTCTGACATATTATTAATTGTGTTCCCTTAAAGTCACAGCAATTACAGCTTCCCCACAGAGAGAAATCCTTGGAGCAGAAGAAAATACGTTTGTTTAATTGCTAAAATTTAGCAGACTTATTTAGAAACACAAATCTAATTCAACTGCAGATGGAAAGTGGTTTAAAATGCAACTAATTAATTTTCACTCCAAACATCAGCCGGAGCTGGAAGCTAACACTCCCCCTAGTGGTGGTTGAAGGTTGTTGCAAATTTCTGTTAGCACCCAGTTCAGGCGGCATAATCTAATACTGAAAGTATTTTCCACTGTACTTTCTGCTATAATATAAGGCTTTCCTTATATTATTGATATCTGCTTGTTTAATGTCTTTGTCTTTAAAATAGAAATGCACTACAAACCTCCGTTGCAAAAACAAAACAGGTCGAACATGGACTTTCCATTTACTTAGCTGCCATTTTTGTTGCAGCAAAGTAAGTTGTGATGCTAACCAACCAGTAGGCAGCAGCTGAAAACTGACGACATGGCCCTTCATATGCATTTAAGCATTTTTTGATTATTTTCTCACAATGCGCAAGAAAAAATAAGACGAGATGAGGCAATGACAATGACACTTGTGTAAGGAAAAGACAAAACAAAATGTATAAATTTCTTGATGAAAACATGTTTAAGGAAAAGGAAAACAAGTAATAAAGGTATATGCTTTTATTTTTAATCATGTTAGTTTTGGTCCTCCGTACTTTGGTGAAGTAACGCTAAATTTTTCCCCATGGCTTCTATGGGACCAAATAAACTGCTGACCAAATAAATTAAACTTTTAGAAACAACCTGCAGTTGTTTTGCTTCAACCAAATTCATGGACGCTGCTTTCTTTAGGCTTAATTGCAGATGGACAAACAGCGCCGATCAAAAGGCAGCATCCGTGATGCTGGTATGGGGCGTGACGGGAGCATTAGTGCACACGCCGTGTGAAACCCACTCAGATGTGAAGACGTAATTAACGCTGACTGACACATGCAGGCATTCGGAAAAACAACCACTTCAATTAAGATTTGTTTATTTCAGCAAGACAAACTCATGTAGCTCATGTTGGCAACAGCAAGATTAAGCTGCAAAAGAAGCTTACAGATGAACGACCAACAATACTAGATGTGTTCTGGTAGTAAAGTATAAAACTTTATTAGTGAGCTAATTAAACTTAATTAGTTGATTTCTATTCATATAGATGATTTTTACCCATCTTGTTGTTCCTAATATTTTTAAAGAAACTAAAATTTTTTTGACTAAAGCATAGAACATTGCTGAAATGTACTTTATCAATATATTGTAACAGGATGTATTATAAACCTTTTCCCTGATAACCAAAGTTAGCGGTTCTGTTATAGCATCAGTCACATTACAAAATTAGCCACTTTCCAAGAACAAATGTCTTAAATTTATGCAAACAAGATGATGACTCATATATTTACTTAGTTTGTAAAGGAGCTTATTGGTTGCAAAAACATACGCATTAATGTGGGACTGATTCCAGAAATTATACTCCCCCAAACCTGTAAGTGGTGCTGTTGCTAAAGTAATTCAATTAAAGAATTTGTTGGAACCAATTTCTGTTCCAACACAGAAATTTTCTCAACCTCATCTATGATAATTCTTACTTTCAACAACTTAACTTTTTGGGCTCATATTGCAACCCATACAAACATATCAGCCTTATCACTGGGAACAAGAAAACAGTTAATTAGAGTAACGGTTAACTGAACTAATCTTCAAACTGGTGTGTTTGATTAGAATGTAAATTCAGTAATATTTAAAATCCTCCAAAATATCAACATGATTGGTTAAGAAGTAGAAATTTCAGAAATATAATAAAATTATTACAAATTTGAACACTTCTACATCTTTTCAGTACAAATTAGGGAGGGTTAATGACTAAAATCTTTTTAAAATATGTTATCATCTGAAAACTCAAAAACTAGCTTACAGTTTTCAAACTGCAAAGTTACAACATCTTACCAAGTAATTTTGGTCTAATTTCTAGTGCAAATATCTTACAACACTTGAAATTCACAAATAACGTTTCAGCAAAATATAGGATATTGTTGTAAGTAATTAATTCCTTAATATTGATTTTAAAAAGTTCTAGTTCCATTGGCAATTTTTTTTACTTATAACAAAACATTTTGTCCATGTTGTAAGTGAATTTATCTGCCAATAGAACAAGGACTTTTTCATCAATATTAAGGAATTATTGACTTCTAACAACCTCACATATCTTGCTAATAAGTTACTTTTAAATTAGTTTTGTCTGGTTATTTGCACTAGAAACTAAACCAAAATTACTTGGTAAAATGTTGTAATTTTGCAGTGAAAGTCAATTGAATTTTTCAATCATAACATTATTCTCCATTCTACGAGATTTCAGGTAGTTCCTCTGTTGTAGGAAGTTAGTGGCTGACTTTATATGCGGGGTCAGGGATGCATACAGCGCCATGTCGTCCCTTAATGCACAAGAGAGGCTCTTCATTATCTAGGAGTGCTTCGAGGAAGGACCTTCATCAAGTAAAGTGTGTTTATGTCAGGTAGCGGGTGAGCTGACGGCTGCACAGGAGCTTCTGCCTTTCATTACATTAACAAAAAGATGCTCTGAAGTAAAGGCCATCCCCTTTGGGTTAATGCACAAGGAGACTTGGTAAGGAATTAGGTCCTTAAAACGCTCAGCAATAGACCAGAAGAACACCATATGTCAAGTGCTGATAGGGAAGCTGATCATCTGACTCTGGAAATTAATTTTAAAGCTTGATTCACTTTTATATTCTTGGAAAAGATAGGAATCATGACATCGCCAAAGAGTTTAATTTCTTTAGAAAACGTTTGGACATTAAATCTGGCAAAGAAGGATCTGAATTTAAAGCAAGCCAGCTGACGCACTGTAAAACATTTACAGGTGGTTTAAGTTGAAAATGAAAGTCCATCTGCTGCCTTGAAAATGTAATTTAAGTCAACAAGAAAATTGTTTTGGTTTCAATTCAGAAACATTTAGTGTGAACAGGACATTATCCTCAAGCTTTGCTAACTGAGTAGAAGATATTAGACACAACTAAATGTGGCTCAAGTGTTTTACAGTTATTTGTTGGTGTTTTGTTGAACTCATGAAAATGTGAACTGGTCCAACCGGAGCATCATCAGCCTAATAACCGTCCAATATGGAGGATTTATGCGTCTCGTTTTCTGCTTTTCCCTGCAGGGTCAGGGCGAGGCTTCAGCTCGGGGGACGACCATGGAGGGCGACTGCCTCAGCTGCATCAAGTACCTCATGTTTGTCTTCAATTTTCTCATCTTTGTAAGTACTTTTCATCTCCTTCTCAAAGAGGCTACCTCTGAAGTTAATGATTTAAGACGGGCCTCTTACTAATGGAGCCGCATTTGCATTTCATTAGACGAGGCAATCTTGATTCTATCAAATTCTCTTTTGATTAAATTTTAGTGTGCTGACACACATCTGAGGCTCTCTGTGCCATATGGAGCCGGTGACTGACACCTGAGTTTATCAGACTTGATAAGACAATCAGGGGTAATCCCGTTAGCCGCGTGGGGGGGAGGGTCGGAGTGGAGAAGGTTTGTGTCTTTTCCTGCTTTATTAGGCGCATCCAAACCATTTAGAGACTCCACTCACATGTGATTGTTCAAGGCTGGGCTGATAATGTGGCCAGTAGAGCAGAGAAGGGGAATGTTGTCTGTTTCTTATTTTTATTTTTGCTTTTTTTTTTTTTTTTTTTTTTTTTTTTTATACCTCCAAAGCTTTAAAAACGACTCCCAGTTTTTATAATTCCCTAGTATATTTCCGCTAAGCTGTTTAATTTAGTTAACTAAATCAAACAGAATTACAAAAACTGAAATCGAGGAAACATATTTTGTTAACTTAAATAAATAATGGAAAAAACTAACTGGAACTATACGATGCATTTATTTGATGTGAAGTCAGTCAATCAATCAATCAGTCAAGTTTATTTGTGTAGCACATTTAATCAGCAAGGGTTAGGGTTGCTAACCCTAACCCTAACCCCTAACCCTAAGGCAGTTCAAAGTGCTTTACATCATAAGAAGTGATAGAAACGCAGTGAACAATTGAAACGTTACATTTTGGTGGCGTTATCACACATCAGAATGTGAAATTTATTTTTTTATTCTTTTTTCTCAATCCATCAGTTCATATCAGATGTTAATTTACGATGCTCCATAATCCTCCTGTCATAAAATAGCGACAGCAGAACTTGTTATAAAACATCAGTTAGTTGGTCGTTCGACAATAATGTAATTTTCTTTTTTTCTTTTTGAAAATGGTTTTCTTCTGATGAGCATTACCCAATCACATAATCACAAAATAATACTTGTATCTTTTTGAGTCTGCACCAAAACCTTACCAAAGTATGAACTACTACTGCAACCAATAAAAACTAAGATGAAACTAAACATTTGGTTAATAATAAAAACTAAATCAGCTCAATTAGACAAACAAAAAACTAAACTGTCATGAAAAAGTATTATAACAGCCAGGTTTCATAAAAGGCTGCAGGAAGAGGATTGCAGTAGAAATGCTGGAGGCTCTGATCTTTCCCCCACCTCAGTATCTACTTTTCTTAATCACATGAGTGGTTAGCCTGTGGTGGATGGGATTTTTGGAGAGACTGAGGATGGGGGAGGATGGGAGCTTTAGCAAGTTGGGGGGGTTTTTGAAGCAAGGCTGATATCTCTACACTCCCATAGTGAGTGGAGAAACTAAACCTTTGCTCTTTCTCCCTGAACTCTTATTCAGCCGTGAAAGACATTTATATTACTGAGCTGTAAGTCAGTGACTCAGTACAATCTGCTGGATTTTCTCACATAAAAAGTTTCAAATGACTCTAAATGATTAACTGTACTGCTGGGAACTGGTGCAATATAAATAAAATGAACTGGTTTTTGCCGCTGTACAATGGCTGCTGGAAAAGATGAGCGTTTTGTCATTCAGAAACAACTTGTTACATTCTTGTTGGTTGTTCAGGAGGCTCCACTTCTGCTTTTCAAAGATGTATGGTTGTATAAATGTTCGCCTGTTTGCATTTTTACATGAGAGTGTAAACGTTGAGTTAGGATTCAAAGAGACAAGACGGCCTAAAGGAGTTGTTCTGAAAGGACAAAACAGGCAGAACTGGGCAGACTGAAATCTTATCAAAGAAGATTTTGTGCAAAAGATGGAATGAACATGTTTTTCAAACCGAAAGGCCAAAATCTGAATGTTGTTAAAGGGCCAGTTGTGCCAGAATCGACTAAACCTATTAATTTGCTAAAATATCAGTAAATAGCTGTTTCAGCATTCATTAAGTGTTTCTTAAAATAAAGTAATATTGAACATCTTTTCACACTGATCAGTCCAGCCGGGATTTTGATTGTTTTTGTGTTTTTAGTAATTATTATTATTTGTGTTTTTTGCCATCAGAAACACAAATAAAATTGTGGTGCTAATTTAAAAATATTTGTAATGAATTTTTACAATATTTACAGTAATGTGTGATGTAAAATGCGACTTGTTATTACTCACCACATTGATGACGGACTGAAATTTGGCATGAAGTAAGGCAGAAGCAGTAGATACTTAAACGCAAAGTTTTTGGCCAATTTTGAGAAAAAATGTCAATAAAATCAGCAAAAATTTGGTGATTTTGTGTAAATTTTGTGGATTTGTGAAAAACTTGTTGATGTAATTTGGAGTTTAGAGGGCCGCATAAAAACTATGGTGTGCCAGATTTGGCCCCCGTACCCTGAGTTTGACACCATGGCTAATATTTTGTTTGAATTTTTGTTTTTTTCTCGTCTCCTGCAGCTGGGCGGCTCGTTCCTCCTGGGAGTGGGCGTGTGGGTTCTGGTGGACCCCACTGGGTTCAGGGAAATTGTCGCGGCCAACCCTTTGCTGTTCACCGGCGTCTACATCATCCTGGGGATGGGAGGCATGCTGTTCCTGCTGGGCTTCCTGGGCTGCTGCGGAGCCATTCGGGAGAACAAGTGTCTGCTTCTCTTCGTGAGTTCATGCTAACATGTGCAACTCTGTGCAAAAGCGAAACCATCTGTGTGCTTTCGTACATCGCGATGTTGTAACGATGACTTCAGAGGGCACAGACGGCGTGTAATTAGTTTTTTTTACAAGAACCTAGAGTGCAGTTTTTCTGACTCACCTAGCTTGTACTTTTCACACTATCTGGTTTTGTGTTTTTTAACTTTATTGCAGTTCTTCATGCTCATCCTGCTCATCTTCCTGGCAGAGCTGGCCGCTGCCATCCTCGCCTTCATATTCCGGGAACACGTAAGTCGCTTTAGGGAACTTATTATCTTCAGTCCAAACGAGCTTGAAGTCAAAGCTCTTCTCGCTTCTTTTTAACTTTGAGCCATTTCTGCATTCAGAAACTACATCAGTGATTACTCAGGGAGAGAGAGAGCGCAATTTCAATCACTGGGTTTCTTCTCTAAACCAGGAATATTTTGTTACCTTTGATGCCGAGTCCGTCGGCTCTCTGGGCCAAAGCAGAGCAGCGATTTGTCGAATAACTGACTTTCCTCCATTTAATGTCTTTTGTTCCCAGCTGATGTTTCACCAGCTTGCATCATTTTTAGTTCTTTTTGAGTCTCCTCATATCTTTCTTAGGGAGGATTTTCACAGTTGTGGCTTCCTCACTGATATTAGGCCGAGTCCAAACAAAAGAAGTATTCTTCGTCCTACGCTGAAAAAATTAATTAATTGAATCAACTTAAATGAATCAATTAAGTTGATTGTGTTATGTTTTTTTTCAATGTGCAGGATCTTTGAAAATAACATGTTAAAACATACATTTAAAATAATTTAAATGTATTTTAGTTTTTTAATTTGGAACTACGTAAAAGTTTGAGTTGACTTTCTGTAGAATTCAGTCAAAGAAATTTGAATTATGTGTTAGAAAACAATAAATGATTTATGTAAGAATGACTTGAATTTGTCTTATTAAACACACTTAATGAATTAAGTTATAAAAACATAATAATAAACTGAGTTGGTCAGAAACAGGAAATGAAACTGTCACTGACCTCAACTATTTCAAATAAAGTACAAAAAAAAATTCTGGAAGTTAAAGAAGTTGCCATCACTAAACCAAATGAAATAAGTGAGATTAATGTAAATAAGACTATAAACTGAAATACACTGTGAATTCAGTCATTTCATTTCAGTGTAATCTGGGAAATGTAACCTTTAATTTCACTCTGTGACAAAACAAAAATCCTGTGTTAGGAAATAACAGTTTTTAACTAAATTACCAGTTTAGTGCCGATGGTGTCAGCAGCCGACAGAGAGGCAAATCTACGACTATACATCTACATTTCTCTAATTTTCCTGTTCTTTTAGCTCAACCTACCGGTTTAAAGTGAATAAAGAACTGTTACTGTATGTTGCAACAGATTTTAATGTTAAAATCCAGTAGATAAGAGTTTAGTACGACGTTTTGTACGAGCTTTTAGAAGAAAACCAGACAAACCTAAAGCAGTACAGATACCGCACTTTAGTTGACGGGATCTGCATTTATATTAACAATAAAACGGAATTACAAAAATAAATTTGTTAAATGGAATCACGGCGATTTAAGAAAAACTTACATTTTTGATTAAAGTTTTTGCACTGGGTTGGGGCGGTTTTTCAACTTTAACAACATCAATGTGTTTCACAAAACTGTTTTTGATCATTGACCAGATGTTAAAATAAAATGATGGCAGGAACACTGTAAAACATTTGAGCCACATTTAGTTGTGTTTACTATCTTCTACTCTTTAAGTAAAATAAATGTATCCAGTTTTAGATTTTGAACCTAAATGTGAGTTTGTGAAAGATAAACTTGCAGCAGTAAGTTGTGTTAACTTTTATTAATTCAGTCAAACCTCCAAGAGTTGAATAAACTAGAGTTTTTAGGTTAGCACTTAAAAAACTGAAAGAGGAGAAAGACAGGAGTGGGAACTATTTCCCAGAATGCTTAGCGGCACGTTTTTGTCTCCTGAGATGGAAGTGCGTCACATTGATCTGACTCTTGTGTTTTATTAAGGCAAATGTTCATTTTAATGCAATTCTCAGTTAGCAAAGCTTGAGGATAATGTCCTGTTCACACTAAATGTTTCTGAGCTGAATTCATTGGGATGTTTAATAAAATTCATTATCAGATCAGAAATTTTGTTCCTGCAGTTTGAAACAAGAGTTTAAATTATTCTAAAGTAAAATAAGTATTTATTTTAACTTGAGTAAAATAATAGAGAAATGTGGCTCTTTAACTCGGTGAGAGTAGCTTTTTAGTTAAAACTCACAATTCAAGATTAATGAAGTTAAAAAACAATGTTTAGACAACTGGTCTCTTATTGTTAAATCAACTTCATGAACTTTAATTAATGATTCAAAACCAAAACAATTTTCTTATTGACTTAAATTACATTTTCAGGGCAGCAGGTGGACTTTCATTTTTAAGTTAAACCACCTTCACATGTTTTACAGTGTGGCAAGATGATGACGCGGCATATTTTTTTACGATTTATCGCTTGAACAAACTTAATCACCTGTAACTTTATTTGTGTTTTTTATTTAATGCAGAGATCACAATTGCAAAATGTTTTTTTCACATTAGCAGAATATCAACAAGGTGTTTCTCACATATTCCTGCTGTTTTTAATTCCAGCCTCACCTGGTTATTTTTTGGTTGAAAAGCCCAGCCTCACTATTCTTTCTTTCTCAAACTTTTCCATCATAAGTTGTGAAGCTCCTACCAACAATTCACCGATCCAGAGTAGAGACAGAAATTTCCTGCTGGCAGGAGGTTCTACACTTAAGTCCATGACTGACGTCACCCTGTCAACATCCAAAAAAAACCACACCAAAACCACAACAGTATCAATAAAATTCTTCAAATATTAATTAGAAATCTTTAGTTTTCTTGATGAAATTACTTCTGAGTCGTTTTTTTGGTTTCCAATCCTGCTGCTGGCTGGTCACACAAATCAAACGTCATAACGTTTCACTTCTTCCACCCGCAGAGCATTCGGCTTTCGCTGAATGTAATCAGCTGTGACTTGGCACGGCTGTAATAGAGGTGGGCTGATTTTTACCCCCTGCAGAGCAGCACACACACAGAGACAGAAAAAGAAAAGAGTGCTTCATCTTGTGTTGAAGAGTTGGTGAAAGGCACAAAGTTCCTGTTTGATCTGCTTTAATCCAACAAGTGGATCATTTTCCTAGAAGGTCAGGTTTGTTTTTGGAGGTCTGAATGTGCAATCAAACTCTGATGCCAACCAAAAAAGTGAACTTTGGTTCCCCTGCAAATCTAAGGCTGCAGCCTGAAGCGACCCGATTCTGATTTTCTTTTGCCATGGTTCACATTTCCAAATTTACCTCTATACGACTTGTATGCGATCTCCACTACGAACGACCTGAAAGTGTCCCACAAGTGCAGTAGAGGGCGCAATAACGTCGCACAGAGAGCGTGCTCTGTGCTTTGCCAACCGCCATAAAGAAGAAAAAGAAGAAGTGCTCAGGGTTTTAAACATGGATGCTAACGGTGGAGCACAGCTTATGATTTTTACAGATGTTATCCAACCAGAGCCAATCTTTAAATCTTTATTAAGTTGTTAATGTGTCATTGTTGTTTTTTTGGGTGAATCAGGACACAGAATAGTGATTTCATCGAGTATCGACATCCTGAGGTTTAGTCCACTTCCTGCCTTTGCAGCGTTGTCTGGTTCTCCAAGCAGTTCAGACTCAGGCCACATTGAATACGTCAGATACTCATGATGAAGGAAGTTGATCTCAGTGTCTTCTTCAGAGATTTTTGTGTTGTTTCCTTCAGTGGTTCTTGTTGCAGTGCCCCCACAGGCCAGGAGGGGAACATGTTTTTCAAAGGGTTTAGTTTATTTGATTCAGTTCTGTGTGAAAGCAAACCACTCCAGCTGAAAATTTAACAAATGTTTCAGTTTTGGTCCCCAGTTGGTCGTCTTCCCAGACAATCAAAGTGAAAACACTCAAAGCCACAGTAGCATGTAACAAACTCAGAAAGGAGTTTATTGAGCTCATTTCGACTCATCATGTGTTCTTGCTTCAGGCTTCATGTTTAGAGGCGTTGATTGACCTCTGCTCTTTTTGCTGATTTAGCTGACCAGAGAGTACTTCACCAAGGAGCTGAAGAGTCATTATCAGGGCTACAACAACAGCGACGTCTTCACCTCTACATGGAACGCCATCATGATTACAGTGAGCAACACTCATCGCCGTTTCTCCCTCCTGCTGCTCTGCTGACAGGCCATGGAAACACAGACTCAGAGCTAGCTGGCTATTTTAAAGACAAACCCTTTATATTTAGGTCAATATTTCTGCTCGGTTGGCGCCCACAGACAGCTGACCGCAGGTCACTGCACAAATAGGCGCTCGGCAAATGGAACTTCTTCTTCTTCTGCCTTTCAGTTTGACTGCTGTGGAGTGAACAGCCCAGAGGACTTTAAGGACAGCCAGTTCAGGCTCAACAACCAGAATCACATGGTGCCAGAAGCCTGCTGCCAGCGCATTCTTCAGAGTGAAGAGAGGGTCTACTCCGGCCAGGAGCAGTGCCTATCAGGCAATATGATGTTCCGCAACAACAAGGTAACTTTTGGCACCGCTTTTCCCCTCTCAGCCTGGTTCTAGACCTCCTCCGGGCCTAATTAGGGCACAAAACAGTAGATAAATGCACTGGGGGACTGCCTGACTCTGCCATGTCTTATTAGTGCTGTTCTGTCTGGGTGTCACGGTGGGTCATGTGCAGCACGCAGATGGCAGCTTACAGATGAGCCTGTGCATACATGCTTAAATTGGAGGGTTTTACGGAGGATATATCTGCTCAAAAATAAAGCCTGTTAAGAATATAAAAATAAAGCGTGCTGAGAATTAAAAATATGTGAGAATTCACTCCTAAATCTGTTATTTTATGTGTGCAAGAGCGAGCTTCGTATGTAATTACAGTGATAACAGGTATAGGGAGGTTTTAAACAGCAGCCTTTCCCCTCCACCTGTTGTTTTCCATGCCATTATGATAAAGAGATGTTCAGAGTGTGTGTGTTTGCGTGTGTGTGGCTCGTTCTGCTTATTCACACAAAGAGCCCTCATTAAAAGGCTGCAGGCCCCGCTTCCCACTCGTTCAGCGGGGCCTTTGTTCCGATCCTCGCTCTATTGAAGCCGTGATGTCGCCTTAACTATCTCTGTAATTGTGCAAATTTATAGCCTATTGATTCACATGTCGTCCACATGTGTGTCCTTAGGGCTGCTACTCTGCCGTGGTCGACTACTTCGAGCTGTACATCTACGTCGCTGGAGCGCTGGCTATTGTGGTGTTAACCATCGAGGTAGGAGCGGCTCTTGAAATGTTCGGCATCTTTTCCTGATGCCCAAATGATCAGGATGTCTGTTTTTGAACGACAACGCTCTGCTTTTAAATTTAAGAAACCTAACCTGTCAAGAGAACGATCTGGCTGTGGAAAGATCGCCATCTTGTGGTGATGTTCAGTATCACAGGGAGACGTAAACCATTGAAAACCTGCTGGTTATTCCTCCAAATATTCATTCCTGAACTCTTCCCACGTCAAAATATGAATGTTGCTGTTTCTAAGTAAACATGAACTTGTTCTCTTTGCATTATTTAAAGTCTGAAAGCACTGCATCTTTTTGCTATTTTGACCATTTCTCATTTTCTGCAGTAACACTAAATTTTTGCTGGTTGCTTGTCAGAGACATGTTGTCAGTAGTTCATAGAATAAAACAATATTCATTTTACTCAAACATAAACCTATAAAAAGAAGCAAAATCTGAGAAACTGGTCATTTAGTAACAAAAGATAAAAAAATATATTTTTTCAATAAAAAATCTTATAAAACTTTTAACAGAAGTTGCAGCTTTTTGTCTGGTGAATATTTGATTAAAACATGTTTGTTTTTCATTCAGTGGGGAGAAAATCCAGAACTTTTACTCAAGTAAGAGTAGAAATACTTCATGATAAAATTACTGAAGTAAAAGTAAAAAGTACAGCATAGTAAAAATACTAATGAAAGTACATTTTTTCTAAAAGGTTGCTGAAGTAAAACTACTTACCATCTAACTCTGACTAAAATGTTATTTCTGTTTTTTGCGTTTATGAATATTAAGCTCTGATGTTTTGTTATAGAGTGAATTTGTATTTGCTGCTACATTCATGTATTATGTAGGTTTATGTCAATTTATATTCTTATATCTGTGCATACATGCACATATGCAGAACTTATATGAAGACTTAGGGACATTAAATTTTATATTATGAATGTTTTTTTTCCCAATTAGTTGAATTTACTTCATAGGTGATTTTTATAAACAGATGATGTCACAAATTTTTATTTAGGGACTGAATACAATGCATGTCACCCTATACAAGTTGTTTTTTTCACAATACTTTGAGTTGTTTTAAGATCGCCTCTTCATAACTTTGGACAAAAATTATGCAAAGAATCATTTTTCTGCCCAGCAGCAATGAAGACCAAAGACAAATAAACCTCTAAAAATATGTTCCAGAAGAAATATTGAGATTTAATGAGTGATGAATTGAATTAATGTGGGTTATTTTGGTTGAAATAATTGCGTCTTGTGACCGTTTGCTTTGTTTTTCCTCCAGCTCTTCGCCATGGTCTTTGCCATGTGTCTCTTCCGGGGAATCCAGTAGAAAAGTGCTTCATTTGCAAATTGCTTTTTTTCCTCGAACAAAAAGGGAATTCAGGAGAAAACAACAAAACGGACATTTGTACATTTGTGGATCTCCTTTTTTTTTCTTTTTTAATTGTCTAATTGGTTTAAAAAACAAGAAGAAGAGGAAAAAAGGCAAACTCTTGTACTTCACAGCTGGACTTTTGAGGTACTGGGTGATTTAAAAAAAAAAAAAAAAAAGAAAGAAAACCAGACACAGAAACCGCTGAGAAAGTTTAAAAATCAAAGATAAAAAAATAACAATTTGTGCATAAAGTGGAAGCAGTAATTAGTGAACCAGGTCTAGCACAGACTGGGTGTTAAGCCTGCGCAGAAGGCACTGCACTGACTTTTGGATGAAGAATATTTATATAGAGTTATGTTGGCTCAACTGTAAAAATCGTGTTTCATGCACACGCTGAATGGCAACCTGTTTTCTTACTGTAAGCAGCCTCCTCCCTCCACATGCCCTTTTTTACTGCCACCTCTCAAATACGTCACGCTCTCCAGAACTCCGCCATGACGGGCGTCAAAGCGACCAGCGCGCTGCGTTAAAGCCAGTCTAAACACAGACGTCTGGAATCAGCTTTTATTCAGCTGATTTCAGTTTAAAAATGGCCGCAGCGCGGACGGCTGCACAAACAGAGAAGGAGAGAAACAAAACTTGCCGTTTTATTTTGCAACTGTTAATGAGGAAAGATACGGCAGCAGCTGTCAGTAATGACGACTGGCAGCCCTGGTCGGATAAGAACGTTAATGTACTTTGAATAAATGGGATTAGAAAGACACCTGGAGAAGGTACAGGCTAACCATTGCTATCCATGGAAACATGTTTATGGTGTGAATTCAGGAGAAGTTGGTAATTAGATCAACAAGTTAGAAAGGAGGAGGTATGGGTCGGTTTCCAACTTTTATAAATGCCGCCATATATGGCGGCCGTAGCGCCGTAACACACCAAACAGGTGTGTTAAATTAGCTCGATGCTAACAAGTAGAAGCCATCAATAAACTGGGAAAAACAACTTCAGTCGCTCTGTTAGAGACTCCCGTCCCTCACTTCCGACGTCCGTCATGGCGCCTTGAAGTGACGCAGTTGCAAAGGGTCATATTGACTGTGTGTGTGTGTGTGTGTGTATGTGTGTGTGCGTGCGTGCGTGTGTGCGTGTGTGTGTGTGCGCGCGCGCTGGATGTTTGTGAGCATGTGATTTTCTCCATAACCTCTCCCAAGCCAACAACTGTTTTTTTTCTGTTTGTATGGTGACTGTTATTTGCATTAGAAATGTGCTTTTAGGTGGTGACATGTATGTGTATGAATTTGTATTAGATTGTTGAAAAGTCTGTGACATAAATGGCATTTTAAATGACTGGTTTTGTCTGCTTCTTGCTCAGTCTGCACAGGTGAAAATGACTGATTTATTGCCTCTTCAGTTTAGCTGTTTTGTTATCCATCATTGTTAATACAAAAAGGTAAAGATGAGATGTTTTTTTCTCTCAAACTTAATAGTAAAATCTATTTTCACGCCAGTGAAGGAGACATTTTTCAAACATGACAGTTATATTGTTTTTCCCTGCATGGATGATTTGCCCATTTTCCTCATCAAGTAATTCCTCTCAGACACTCTGGTGACATCTGAGTGTCTGAAACACAAATGATGGGCCGTGATATTTGTTAATGGGACAAATAGAAAAATCCCAACACTGTGCTCAATTTGCTCTTGGGTTCACCAACAAAATCAATTTAACTTTGATTATCTTAGTGGTTTGATTCGCTTCTTTTCTTGGTGTGAGAAAATAACGGCAACAGTGTCAAAAACCCTGTGGAAATCAAACCAACAGAGCAAAAAGGAACGAACCCTTAGCTTAAAGCACGGGTGTCAAACTGAAGGCTCGAGGGCCAAATCTGGCCCACCATAGGTTTTTTATCTGGCCCGCTAGACTTTTTCACAAGTCTGCAAAATTCACACAAAATCAACAGATTTCCACATTTTTTCTGATTTTACTGCAAATTTGTATCAAAATTGGGGAAAAACTTTAAGTGACTGTTGCTCCGCCTTACTAGATGCCAAGTTACAGTCTGTGATCAATACGCCAATTAATAAAATGTCTCATTTAATATCACACATTAATGCAAATATTGTAAAAATGTCTTTCAAATATTTCTATGTTATGTCAATATGTGATATGAGGTTCATAGCAAAACAATTAAAATCCTGGATGAAATATATTCTATATTATTTTAAAAAACATTTATTGGATGCTGAAACAAAGAGCTATTTATTGATATTTTATGAAATTAATGGGTTTTATTGTTACATTCTGGCACAACCAGCCCTTTAAGAACATACAGATTTTTGATTTGATCCAAATTGAAGATGAGTTTGACATCCCAGGTTGCAGATTTGAATTGATTTCTTCCTGGGATCTAAATAGCACCAGCAGCCACAAACGATTGATGGAATGAAACATTTTGCGCTTAAATTTTGACTTTATCCAAGCAAGATGAAGCCAGTTATTAAGTCCTGCTTCCTCTCTTCGTTTGGAAAACATTCTCACTTATTTTTTAGATTACAAAGATCAGAAATTTTGATTCAGCTTGAGTTTGTATTTTCCACCACTGGGCCAAACTGGAAAGAATAGTAAACATCCATCAGCAAACTTAAGTTCTACACAAGAGATTTTTTTTTTCGTCCAAACAAAAGGAAAAACATTAATTTACAAATAAATGCCAGTTCTCATGAGGTGTTACTTTTTTTTTTTTTGGCAACTCAAATCCCAGAAAACATTCTTCACGGTTCCAACTTAATTTGTTTCAATAATATTCTATAAAAGGTTATGGAGTGTACTTTTATTGCATCTAATTCATCCTGCATCACATGAACACGTTTGTGTTCGGGCCTTTTGATCAGCCCTGTGATGGGAGAAGGAGAGAGTGCGAGAAAAGTCGACACAGCAAAACATGTGATCACAATTTTCTTAACAAGCCTTTCCAGAAACTCTCCTCTGTTCTGCTGTGGATCCTTGTTGCGGTCAAAGTGAAGTGAACAATGTGGCGGCTGATGTGTTTTAGTTTTTCCTGCCTCATTACCATATACTGGAGCTCATTAGAGTAACTGAACAAGAAGGAGCAGAGCAGCTTTGTTTCTGGTGCCGTGTACTCACAGCAATAAACGGAGGTGTTGGCTGAGCTGCTGCTCCACTGAGGTTCATGAGAAATCGCCTCACAAAGGTGCTACTGTTCTCAAATTAAACACATTTTATTCTTTCGTATCACTGCTCTGTGTGCATTTTGAATAAACTGCATTGTACTTCTTGCATTTTTGCCACCCAGTAAAAGAGCAATTAAGTTTAAATGGTAGATGTGTTTCACTTGACTTCCACAAGAGGGCGGCAGCATCCCAGTCGTCAGTCTTAACCTGATTTTAAGGTCAACTTGCAACCGGAAGAGATTTTTTAACCAGAAATCGGACATGTATCTAAGAAGAAAAGTTTCCATCATTACAGTCTTTATAAAAGATGTGGTGTTAATATGGAAACGTTACTTTTAAACCACAAAGGCAGGATTTCCTGTGCAACCCTGGAAGGAGTAAAAAGCATATATTTTCCTTTTTTGAGAAAATTATTTTCACTTATAAGGCTGTTTCTAAACTTAGCATGAGAAAACCTAACATTTATATTCCTCTCTCGGTAGCCTGGGTCACATGACTAAATATGCAAATTAGACGGTGACGTCATGCAGCAACATTCAGGAGTTGGCAGCAGTGGGATTACAGATTTTACATGATCTGTGGCCATCATCAGATGTTTTGCACTAATGCTAAACACATGGAAATAATAATAATAAAAAACAAAGTAAAATACGTTTTATTACCTGATCAGTCTTTGCACCATTTACAGCTAAGGACAGGCTTCCACGCATATCAGTTTTCAAATCAAATCATTATGCAAACACTCCCTGGCGGATTGAATTTGGCAGATACTTCGTAAAACGGCTGGATTAAAAAAAAACAACAAAAACACAAAACATCTGTAATTCAAAGTCTGGTAAATATAAACCTGAATAAAATAATAAGCCTGTCAAACTTTCACTCAATAACGGCTAGAAAAACAAATTACGGTAATTTTTACTTTTTGAACAGTTGAATTAATTTGACAGCTTATTGTAAAACTCCTTCCAGCAAGCATTTTAATATTTGTGTCACAGTAACTGCTGCAGCCAAGATAAACAGTTAAAAACTTTGTAGATTACCTTTAAACTGACAGACATCAGTTTAAATAAATAGCAAAAGGTGAAAAAGCCCCTCGAATGTCATGACTTACCTGGTTTGTGATTGTTGTCTTTTAGGACGTACCAAAGTTTTTTTAAATTTGTATTTATTGAGTACATATTTCAGTTGTTCCTTTATGTGATGATCAAAGTTCTTATTTCTTTTACTGTTTTGCATTTTTCTGCGGTTGAACTCGTGTTTCTTACCTCATAAACATTCCTAGCAGGAAAAAAGGAAGGAGAAGTGATGGATGGCGAAGATGTGAGACTCGTGGGGGTTCCGTGTTGAGTTTGTTTTAGGCCTCTGTTTGGAGAGGAGACTTTCATTGCTTAATGATTTATGAGTGATCGGCCTCCCGGGGGTATCAGAGCGAGTTCTTTTTCCTGCTTGTAACAACCCACCGTCTAACATAAAGCCTCGGCTTCTCCTTTGTGTTTTGTTTGCATGAAAGGTGTTAGGTCCGGTAGGGAGCCGTGGCGCACAGAGAAGCTCTCTGTATGATCTGCCCCCTGCAGAGGCAGATTTACATCTGGTACAGCAAAACTAAGACCTACGAGAATCTAAAATAAGCCCAAAAAGATTTCAACATGCTGTAAGTAAGGCTGCGTTCACACTGCAGCCCCAAGTGAGCCGATTCTGATATTTTTCTCTTAATGCGACCCGTATCGGATCTTTTCATGACGGTCTGAACAAAACAAGTCGGATTATTTTCGAGTGGGACCCAGAGCTCTTGGATATACGTACCTGATCTCTATGTGACCTGAATCTGAGAGTCCAGGTCGTGTTCAGCCCACCATTGATGCTCAACATTCTTAACCTGCTGAAGGAAACATAAGGTCACCGTCAGCCCTCTGGGTCTTTCAGGAGCAAACCATCGAGTTTTTCTTTATCAATCAATCAATCAATCAATCAATCAATCAAATTATATTTGTATAGCACATTTCAGCAGCAAGGCATTTCAGAGTGCTTTACATCATAAACACAAAGTCATGCAACATAGAATAAACAATGCATTGTTATGTATTACATTTTAAATACAATTCTAAACAGGTGTGTCTTTAGTCGAGATTTAATGGAAGTCAGGGTTTCTGCTGTTTTACAGTTTTCTGGAGGTTTGTTCCAAATTTTTGGTGCATAGATGCTGAAAGCTGCTTCTCCTCTCTTGGTTCTGGTTCTGGGGATGCAGAGCAGACCAGAACCAGAAGACCTGAGAGGTCTGGAAGGTTGATACAACAACAGCAGATCTTTGATGTATTGTGGTGCTAAACCGTTCAGTGATTTATAAACTAACAACAGTATTTTAAAATCTATTCTTTGAGCTACAGGGAGCCACTGTAGGGACTTTAAAACTGGTGTTATGTCTCTATCTTCCTGGTTCTAGTGAGAACGCGAGCAGCAGCTTCTGGACCAGCTGCAGCTGTTTGATTGATTTGTTGGACAGGCCTGTGAAGATGCTGTTACAATAATCAATGCGACTAAAGACAAACGCCTGGATGAGTTTCTCTAGATCTGGCTGAGACATTAGTCCTCTAATCCTGGAGATGTTCTTCAGGTGATAGAAGGCCGACTTTGTAATCGTCTTTATGTGGCTCTGAAGGTTCAGGTCCAAGTCCATCACTACTCCCAGGTCTCGGCCTGATGCTAGTTTTTAGTTGCTTTACAGCATTTGGTTCTAAGTAACCATGCAAAACTTTTATAGGTATTGACAATTTGGCAATAATTTGTTATTCTTGTGCAAAAAAGAATAACAGAAATGATCTGATGTGGCATTTGTGCATCTCATCTCCTCAACAACAGCAGTTTCTAATGCTGTTGACCAACAGACAGACTGGAGTCTCTGCTTGCTTTACAGTTTTGCTTTTAATTGCCTGTGTGCATTTTTAGTTCATTTTCTGTTTCTTCAAAACGTAATTCTTCAATCTAAATCTTTCATTTTTGTTTGTTTTAAATTTTTATGTTTACTTGGTTGAACATAAGAGGGGCATTTTACATCCTTCTGCTTTTTTGTGTGTTTTCCAAGTAGTTTCTGTTATTCTTCTTTGCACAAGAATACACACAAGGCAAATTGTTACCAAATTGTCAATACCTATTTAGGAAAAACTTCAACCAATATAATGCGGCAATTGGCTTTAAATGGCATCTTGTTGTGGTGTAGAACGTCATAAAATGTCCCGTGAGTACCGAGTTCCACAGATCCAGCGGTTTTTGACCCAACCAGACAATTTCTGTGACTCAGAACGTGGTGGCCTCAAGTAAAACAGGAAGTGAGCTGAACACAAACTGGTCTGCAGGGACGAGCCGTTTCTCAGGCTGAGCCGCTCTGCCGTCTGAGAAGCTCCGGCTTGCCTGGTGACTCACTTGTTGAGCATGTGTTTTCAGTCCCCAGGACCAGAGTGTAGCTAATGAACGCCACTGAGTAGCAGAGGCTGTCCCATGTGAAAACACCACAAAGTAATCTTTGGTCACAATAAAGATGACTTGTGTGAAAAGTCAGTGATGATCCCAGTGATTTTTGAGTCACTTTATTTCTCTTCTTATCGAATTGTGACGCAGTTTCCCAGTTGGAGGCCGACCCGTGGCCGAGTCGCTTTTTGCGCTGAAACTTGACTCGCGGTGTGGCGTTCGGACCCGAGCCGTCGTCTCGGCCTGCCGATCTCTTCCCGAGTGCCGTGGTGCATCTAGGAGGTCGACTGCAGTGCGTGTCTGACCTCTGTGCTCTGCCGCGGGAGGCCTTCATGTGCGACGGCACTGAGCAAGAGTGGACTTCGATGAGCAATAAATCACAAGCGTGCTTCACCATCCCCATTTTCACCAGATTCATAATTGGAAGCATATTGTCAAAGAGGAGGGCCGAAAAGGTTCTGTGGAAGGGTTGGAAACACAAACCGAACAAACTTCGGGAGTTTGGGATGGAACGCACGATTAAAATTTACGTCACAGCCCCAAATTTAAAGATTTCATCTGAAATTTCAACACCAAGTCGTGGAGGATTGTGAAATGAAGGAAAATTATACACGGTAAATGTTTTTGTTAAAATAAAAATGGATAAAGTGAGAACTTTTTAAGCAACTATCTGAAAACAGAGCATGGTTGCATTATCTCCTACCAGTCCACTAGGGGGCACTACAGTTTATTTACCTTAGTTTAAGTGACTTGGCGGCGGATCGGAAGGAAACGTTTAATTAACCTTAAAACTTTGTATTTCTTGCGTTTCTGATTAAATCTATTGAAACATTTATTTTGTTGTTTTATATGCCGGTTTTGACAAAGTAGCTTTAAGCTCCTGAAAATGCTAGCGGTTAGCAGCTAATTAGAACAATGCTAACTTGAGTGGGTTTTAATGCTGAGTGGTGTTTATTATACTGTAAAGGGTTCCAAGAGGAAGTGGGTACTTAATTATTTGTTGGTTAAATTAAGCATAATTTGTGATAATATGCTTGGTTTACATTAAATATTTGCATTTTTTTAAGTTTGTGTTTATTTGAATGTTTCACAGACTAATTTAGTTTTTACTTTGTTTACAGTTTGACCACATAAATTGATTAAATTGCCATGAAATAAATAACAACAACCGACTTATGTTCTTTCAACATCATGTTTATTTTTTTATTTCGCTTAAAACCTTTGTAACATTTGTCATCATTGTGTCACTTTTATTATTATGTAAATGGAGGAAGACAAAGCAATGCCGATATTTATGAGCCGATTCGAGAATCGGTTCATAAATATCGGCAGCACATATTGAGGGATTGGTCAGACTGATGTAAAAATAACTGGCATCATCTTTAAAAAACCCTGCATCGGTCCAACTGAAGATTCTCATGTTATGGATCTGAGCTTCTACACCACTATGTGACCTTTGACCTATTAGCATACGCTCAGTGTTGTTAGCATACGCTGACTGTTGCGGTTAGCACACTTCTGAAATTGGCTTGCATCTATATAGAGAAAACTTCACTCTAATATTCCTACATGAAATCCAGTGGGACCAGTTGCAATCAACCCTTGAGTAATTAAATCAGTATAAATCAAGGTTTTCCGAAACTCGGTACCATAATAAAGTCATTAATTGGATCTTGAGTTGCCTCCAGAGATGCCCATTGTGGCTCTGGTGGAGCTGCAGAGATTTAAGTGGGAAAAACTGCTAACTTTCACACCTGCACTCTGCAAGACTGGTAAGAAGACCGCTATGTTGAAAGAAATAAAAAGTGCTATTTACAGTTTGGCATGTTGGGAATTCAGCATATGGAAGAAAGAGCTCAGGTTAGAGTTTGAAAGTGTGAAAATCATGTATAATTTTTCTTCTGCTTGGCAATTAGGCAGCACTTTGTGTTACTTAAATGCATAAAATCCAAATAAAGTGCAGAGAAAGCTTTTTTAAGGCTCAGCACTGTGGGCCTACTCTTCCATAACTCGCCTCTGTTCGAGGATCGGTCATCATTCTTGTTCTGTGTGAATGATTTCTTATGCATGTCAGAAGTGAGTGCTAAATATGAATTGTTTTCTGGCAGTCTGGCCCTGTAATGAGGAACGTTCTGACTGAGCAAAGATCTATGTGCGCCTTCATCTTCAGCCACCCACTCCTCTGCATGTGGCCAAACAGAAGGGCTGTGGCGTTTGTCCACGACCGCAACAGGAGGACGCTCCTCCTCCTCGGACGTCCTCCTGTCGGACAGCAGCACCGTGTCAGATGGATGTTTGATTTATGAGCTCTTGTCACTGGGGAATGTTTGAATGAGGAGCCGGTTGGTTCCATCAAGGCCAGTGTCAATTCATTTATGTCACTTCACTTCGCCTCCAGTCCTTTCATGTTTTAGGAGTCTTTTCATTAGAATAAGGAATCTGATTTACAGTGCAAGCACCGGCGTTCCTCTGAGGGATCATTTAACACTGGAAGCCGGAGCGCAAGCCCCAAAAATATGACCTAGAAGAAGTTTCTGCTGAAAGCTGATATCAGGGCAGATTTACAGCGCTGGCCTTGCTAACGATGGCCCTTAACGAGCAGCTCAGACTGACTGACGGGTCAACTGATGGGAAAATAAGGCAGTAAATGAGGAATCGGATATTTCCCCTCTTTGCTATATCAGGCTGGCCCTAATGCAGAGGGGTGAACTTTGAAGTACCCTAATGGTCTTCATGGTCTTTTAACCGAGCGGCCCTATATTATAGGGTTGCCAATGGAGCCTGGCTGGAGCAGCGTGACCCGTCAGCTTTAACGAGTTCCTCTCAGGGCGCAGCACTTTGCTCTTCTTCCTTATTCTGGGCGCTTGTTCATCATTTAGCTGTGAAACAAAAGCGTTGCAAGATTAGAGTCTCTATAATAAGCATTGCCTTCTTTTGATCAGACCAGAGGAAGACGATGGTGGATGCTTTATTTTCTATTAGCAAAAAGTTCATTTTCACTGTATAGTGAATATTTGTGGTATTTTTAAGATGCTGAGGTCACACAATACAATTCTGACACATTCAGGATGATGCTACGGAAATAAAAAAAATATATGAAATTACAAAAAATAGTTCTAAAATTCAGGAAATAAAGACAAAATATTAAAAGAAAAAAGTTACACAAGAATGAAATCATAGTACTGCAAGAATAAAAACTTATTCTTGAAATATTATTCATTTATTCTTGGAATTTAAAAAAAGTTTCTTAGAATGGCCATCATACAAACTAACACATGAAAATTATGTTTATTGTTTATTTTATTTTTCTAAATTTGATTTTAAAAAATTAACAGTTAAACACATCACAAAATAAACCAGTCTATTGTTTACTGTGTTGTTATTGTGGTTGAAACAGTTTATTTATTAGCAGCAGTTCCCTCTCATTGCCAGCTTCAAAACTCTGGGACTAAATTTGTTTCAGTTTCAGGTTAGATAACGTTTCCTGAAGAAACATTTTAGCTTATTTTTTAATTAACCGCCCCGTGTTATATTTTAATGTTTCAGAGATGAAGGCGACCTTTACTAAAACAATTAATTATTTTTCCGCTGTGACTAAACTTGGACTGATCTACTTAATGAAGAAAAAAATGAAAGAAGAAATTCTTCAATTTTTGATTCTTTAAAGCACAATTTATTTCAAAATTCCAAACCAACATTGACAGAAAAACAAAGTATTAATTCTGTACAAAGTCCTGCACCATGAGGACTGCACTCTGATCCTGCTTTTGACACGATGGACGGGCTCAACCTTTGACTTGAGGTTGGAGAGAACTGCCCCAGCAACACTTTTTCAAAACAAAAGCACAGTAAGTGCAATAACTTATTGCATAACGGAGACCATCAAAAGTAAAAATATATGATTAATATACAAAAAAAGCTGCTTAAAACCACAGAAAACAAAGCATTTTTCAGAATAACAAAAACAAAGTGGCACATTTAGCATCTTTCCTGCTATACTTCATTGGTTTAGATCTGGATGTCCAATATTCGAAAGAGAAGCAAAAACAAATAAAACGAACAATATTATTTATACTGTTCACATTCAAACAATATGGCGTCATCAACTTGCATTAATTCAGTAGTATCAACATAGATGGAGCGGCAGGGGAGAGGAGCACTGAGGAAAAACGTCAAAAATAAAAAATGAATGTTGTCATGGATTCATCGTGTCAAACACTGGAGACACACATGGGAGACAAAAGATGACTAATCTGAGCTGAAGCTGGTCTTGCAGACTGCATGCTACACTTCTTTTGCAATATTTTCCTTCCCACATGCAACTTTATGTTGCTTGGTTAGATTAAATCCTCTTTGACGTTTGTACACTGTAAAAACTTAAAATCTTACTCAGATTTTTTTTTTTTTTTTGTATCTGTAAATATCTTAATGCAATTGAAATAAGATATAAATAACATGAAAGAACATTTTCAGCCAGAGGGTGTTTTAAGTCAATAATTCCTTAATATTTATTGAAAATAGTTCAACTAGCACTTATTTTATCAATATTTTTGAGTCTTAAAGGTGACTTGGAGTGCAGCTTTGGTTGCTAGGTAACATGCCCTGCTGACCTTTGACGACCCCCCTCCCCCCCCCCCCCGAGGATTTTGACATGGGCCGTTTTCCAGACACCAAAAAGTATAAACTTTTTGCCTAAAACCAGCTGTATGTCTTTTTTTTAAGCTCTTTGGCTGATTTTCTAGAAACAGAAACCCAAACATTGAACTATTTCTTCTCCTGTGTCGTGTTGGAAAGTTATTTGTAAGTTAGTTTTGTCTCATCTCAAGCGTGGTGAGATGTTCGCACCATAAAGGAGTCAAAAAGATACTTTGTCAGATGTCTTGTTTTTGCAGCGCAGAGTGAATGTGGCTCAGCTCATGTCATAAAGAGAGATCATTTAAAACGCTGATCCTGCCTCCGGGTTCATCCCGCTGCTGGCATCGCAACACAGACCGGTCCACGCCATCGATCCGGGTATCGCAGCGTTACAGAAAACCGTTGGGGAGCGTCAAGGCAGCAGGCTCTGAAGAGCCAACATGCAGAACGTCTGCAGCCTGCAGCCTGTCACTAGGCCTGACGCGATTAACAATAAATCAATTAATAAATCATTATAACCTATTTATGTCACGTTAACGATGAACTGCTGAAAAGTTTCTGTACTCTTTGAACGAAATGTTGAATAAACATTCATGTTGTTTCCGCGTATCGTCTCTGCTGGACTTTGGGTCGCGCCGGGTCAGCTGTTCGGAGGCCGACGCTCCCAACTGCAGCGCGTTGGGCCAAGTCTGGCCAAGACAAATCCAACGTGTTGAATATTTAGATCGGAGCGGCCGAGAGGTTCTACCGACTGGACCCGATCAGTCGGAACAAGCTGCAGGACGGTCGGTCGCCATTACAGCAAGTCCAATCTTCAAAACGTTGGTCGTTCTGAGATTGTCGTAAGGTAAATGCTCGTCTTTTCTATCTAAATCTAATGAATCTTAATATACCATACATATGAATGTAGTTTTTATTTCCAATTTGGTTTTTCCAGTGTTAAATGCTCTTTTGAAAATAAATTGTATTTATTTTTGGCAGGACATCTCTTGCATTACCATTACATCAGTTTAAAATAGCAATATTATTATCGCAATAGTTTTTGAATCGCTCAGCAGAATTTGTTATCGTGACAGGCCTAGTTGTAAGACAACGCCGGCTGATGCTAATTAAGTTTGTCTCTTCCTGCCGGTTGCTGACTGAAGCCGGCGCGGCAGGCTGGTGTTGACGGTGGCTGCAGCGTGTCTGCCAGCAGGCGCTCTGTTTCCTGAAACTGGAGGCCTGAGCCCCGTGGAGGCGACTCTGGGAGGGGAAATGACAGCTTGGTCTGAAATTACCGCCGGCTTACAAAGCCAGACTCGATTGACGCACCGTTTCTGTTTCCAGTTTGATTACCCTCACCTTGCTGCGCTAAACCTTTGCCCTTCTCTGCAGGGAGATGAACTCCCAGCAACAGGCTTGGGCGAAATGATTGTTTTCTGTCATAATTGCAGTTTGCAATGGAAAGTGACAGGATGTAAACTATCCACGCAGCGCGTGCGTCTGGGAATGCTCACAGGGAGCGGACTTGTTCTCAGACAGCTTACAAAATGACAGCTTTGTTTAGAAACACACTTAAACAGGCTTATGCAGTCAGAGGAGAGACTGAAGAGGCATCCGTTATGAGTGCAGCAGGACGGCTGCAGTGAAAATATAATGAAGGAAAAAAGCTACATGAATCTTAAATGGCTGTGTAGTGTGATCTGATGTTTTATTATGGTTTGAAGGGAGCAAAACTGAGAGATCAAGGAATTATGTGCTCCTGTAAAGATGTACTTAAGTCTTAAAATGAATTAATTTTCACTGCAGTAGCAAATCTCACACTGAAAAACCCGGCCTTTAACTTAAAGACATTAATCCACGTTAGAAAAAACATATTTATCCTTCTATTTACATTCACAAGGTTGGAGCTTAAGATTTTCTAAAGTTTTCTTTTATGATTTAGTTCATATTAGGTGGTTGATTCTGTCTGGTGAACCAGTTCAATGTGAACTGACCTCTAGTTATGGATCGTTATCTTGTTAAAAGGTCCAATCAGTTGGAGTTTTCTGGTGAACTATATCAGATTTCAAAGAGTCTGTGACACAAAGACACAGCATCACAGATCCTAATATCAGGCATGAAACACTTTTTTCATTCTTTGTTTTACACCAAATCCAGCTGCAGGGATTTCATCACCTCTGCTAGTTCAATTACATGTTGTGTATTTTCCAGGCAATTATAAAGCACAATCAATGAACTATGTTTCTTTGAGTTGTTATAAAAATACAGAATGTGAAATTGGGCTTCTGTCTCTTTAAAAAGCTCCTGCTCTTTCTGAAACTCCGCCGTTCAGGAAGTGATCACAACACGGCTCCTCTATTAACCCTTTAACAACGTTTTTATCTGCGTTTCACTGAGTGCAGCAGAAATGCAGTTCCAACCAGGTGTTTGCTAGTTGCTGCTGGCTAGTCTGAAGGAGCTGAGTTGGGGAGGGCTGCTCTGTGAGGCGGAAGATCTGGAACTGCAGCTCATAGGAGGAGCTTTGTTCTCGTGGGCGGAGCTTAGTCCACCCAGGCCTTTGTACACCTGCAGGTATGTTTCTGATGAACATCAGAACATGATGCAACGCTCGAAAAAGTTGATTTTACGCAATGCTGTAAAAGGAATTGATGATTTTGGTTAAAGCTTGTTTCTTAACATTATTGGGTCTTCAGTGTGAGATTAAGACACTACAGTGAGAAATGTTATTATTTTTAAGGCACTTTATGCATCTTTATCAAGAATGTGAATAATTGCTGGGTTTTTTTCTTTCTCTAAAGTCGCACAGCTGCATTTCTGTCTAAATGCAGAATATTCCTCGTCACAGTTATCTGGCTTGCTGTTGTGGCCCCTCTTATCTCCTCCGTCTCCCCCTCTTCATCTGACTTGTGTTATCATTAGTGCTTCAGGAAAACCCCTCTCTCGTCCTTCTCAGTGCTCTCTGACGGCGGCTCCGGAGACGAGCCCATCGCGGGGACCGGGCCGGACCGGGCCGGGCCCCATCATGTCGCCCAGGAGATGGCCGCGCTGTGTTCCTTGGCCTTCATCCGCAGCGCAGCAATGCTGGACGACTTGCGATCGGGATCAACGTTGAGGTCGTAGCCGTTGATCCCCCCGCTGATCCCGGCGCCCCCGAACAGGCCGCCCATGTGTGTCTGTCCCATGTGGCTGCTGCCTGGACTGGGCATGCCCAGGAAGTCGGAGACGCCTCCGGGAGCGTGAGGGTGAGGCGGCATGCAGGACGGGACGGAGTCGCACGGCACCACGCAGCCTGGCACCGGGGAGGCCGCGCTGCTGCTCCCGATCCACGAAGGGTTCTGGATCTGGAGGAAAAGGGCTGGGATTACGCTCTGGTTTTACTGGTCCTAAATTCAGACAACAATCTACAAACATGGGATTTGTTGCTTGGCTTTTTTATCCTCATTGCGGTAGCAGAACCAGAACCTAAACGCCTTTACAGAGCTAAACTCGTAACTTACTTTTAGTATTGAGGCTGGTCAACACAGCTGGGCTCTTACCGCTTCTGTCACCCACCCACTGAAGACTCATTCAGCTTGTCTTAAAACACCACGAGCATGAGATCGCGCTCGCGTGTGCTAGAGTCTCGCTTTTGTTTTTTTGTATTTACCCAGAATGCCCTGCTCTGCAGTCGCTCTCTGCCTTTGGAGCGGTTCTCTGGTCCACTTTTATCCACTTATGAAACTTTCACGTGCACCACCAGCGTCGGCTTTCTGGCTCTGCATCAAAGTTGGATTGATCATTTACGCTTCCAAAACAAGCCAGACTTTACAGACAAAAGAACTGGAGTTGGATTAAAGTGGACTAACATGGCTGGCATGAATCAGGAATGAAATAGATCAATAATTTGAGTCTCTTGGGCAAAAACTGACTAAAAAACGTTTGCTTCTAACCACACAATAAATCTTTCATTAAGGCGGTGCTTTGCCTAGATTAAGAATAAAAACATTTTGGGCTCCATCACTTTCTCTTCTTCTGTTCTGGGTTCACAAAGCGGATTGCACTAAATACCTGCAGGAGCAAATGGCAGAAAAGTCCAGCAGATACGGTTATGATCGAAAATATGGAGACTTGTTTTAACATTAATCATATTTTATTATTCAAATGCTTAAGAATAACACCAGACATGACAAATAATGTCAGAATGGCCTTTCTAAATAATTTTGTTGCTGCAGGATTCGTCTCTTGAAGAATGTTTTAAACTAAAAACATGTCAGATTATGTATTTTTTGTAAATACTCTATTCAACCCTCCCTCTTTATTTTTTAGAGGATTGTTTATTGACCTTAGTTTGTGACGCTTGCTGCTTTTTCCCACTTTTTCTTCACATTTTCAGCAAACAGCATTTTTTCTCTGCATAAGGAAGGAAGTTTTGGATACAAAGCTATTTGCTCTGCCTGTTATTTACATAAACATACAGAAACCTGGTCAGGATTTAAATGTGGACAAACTGCTTCAGTAGCTGCTTCGCTATATTTGTCTCTGTCAGTTTTCAGTCAATGACTGCTGCTGAGTTCAGATGAAAGCATCTGATTCACTTGGAGCCAGAAAGAGTTTGTCTGCAAGAGTGAAAAACAAACCAAATGCTTAACACAGAGCTAAAGCAAACTGAGGTCTACATTATTAAGTTTTCAAATGGTTCCTTTACAGCAGAGGTGCCCAACTCTAGGTCAGTGGGCCAAATCTGGCACGCATTTTTGTGGCCCTCTGGACCTCAAATGGCCACAAAATACAACTTCAAGATAACTAGAGTAGAAGCACAGTAGTTTGCACGCTTTTTTTTTGTCTGTCGGCCATATTGGATTTAACAGAAATAATTTCTTGCCTTTGCAGAAGTTTTATAGTGTATTTTATGATGCGTTAGAGTCCACTTCAGGGGTCTGTGTGCATTTATAGCACAAAAATCCACAAGAAGCAGAAGACAACTGATTTTAGACAGCTGTCCACTGCAGTGACCACTATGCATGAAAGGGTTAAATATTATGTTATTGGACAAATCAATTCAGTTTTTATTGGTGCAACTCCAAATTACATCAACGTGAAAAGATGTTAAACATGTGAACTTAGGTAATACAAATTGAATGCAGAGAAAGATTTAATATTTTAACGGTTTAATTATATTTTAAAACTCATTTAAAAAATATTATTAAAAGACAAATGTACATTTTGGCCATGTCAAAAATCTGAATGTTCTTAAAGGGCCAGTTGTGTCAGAATCTATTGATTAAATTAATTACACTGTTAAAATATGATATCAGCTTTTTGTTTCAGCATTCAATAAGTGTTTCTTAAATTAAAATAATATTAAACATCTGATCAGTCCAACCAGGATTTTGATTGTTTTTGTGATTTAAAAAAAAAATCAAAATCACAGATTTTGTGATGCTAATTTAGAAACATTTGTAGGAAATTTTCTCAATACTTGAGCTAATTTATGATGTTAAATGTGACTTTTTCCTAATCGCAGTATCGATCACAGACAAATAAAGCTGCAGTCACTTAAGCCCAATGTTTTGGGCCAATTATGAGAAAAATTTGCAGTGAAATCTGAAAATATTGTGGGGATCTTTAGATTTTGTGTGAATTTTGCAGATTTGTGAAATTTGGAGGGACTTATTGATGTAATTTGGAGCCTGGAGGGCCAGATAAAAAGCTACGGCGGGAAAGATTTGATAAATAATTTTGTCAATACATTCTGCCGTTTATGATTCTGATGAGGCCCAACATGGAAATGAGTCCCCTGCAGATGTCACTCCCACATGTGGGTCTCTAGAACATGCTTCAGTAGAGATTTTGTAGCAATCTTTGACTGTATCTGCCCCTTGGAGATCCTAACCTGTGCATAGTTTTCCGGTCGCGTGAGAAGTGGAAGTTCGTAAGCAGTGGAAAAGTGTGTGCGCACTTGTTGCATCTGGCCAAAACGTTCTCTCTTCCTCCACTTGGCTCTGCGATTCTGAAACCACACCTGCAAAGAAGAAGAAGCAGAAAAGGCAATCCATCAGAACAGCGGATGTCAATTAAAAACAAATCGACAACCGTTTTGCACATATCTACTGAAGCCTCCAAGTTATTGCCAAAAACTGGGCTTTTTGTTCATCTAGTCAGAGTATTTAAAGAATCTGAGCATATTGAACATGGTAAAGAAAATAAATTGCGCTACACATGAAAGTCTTTTTGGGACTTGACATGTCTTTAAAGTGCTGTCCACACTGGACTATTGATGTGAAAATGGTGAGTCTCCCCCAGTGCAGTGCGTTTCAGCTCCTCCCTTTGATACAAAGCCGTCTGCCTCCCTTCATGCTGCCAGCGTCGACAGATCCACATCTGGGGCTGCAGCTGTTCATAAATCACTCTGAGAAAGGTGTGCTCTCTCCCACATGTCAGCACAGGGAATCCCTTGGTACTGAACTTTTGACCAACATGGTCAAAAGTTGGCCCAGAGACAGATTAACTAATAATTTCTGTTTGTTTTACTTTAGGAAGGTTTGATCTTGTCTTCTGGATCAATAGATTTTAAAAAGGTTGCTTTCAGCAACATGCCGACGAATGTCTTAGCCTTGTATTCAAGCATAACTACAGAGTTTAGGAAGAATTTGTTGTGCTCCAAAATATATACAAATATATGCAGGTTGAGCTAATTCCTCAGAAAGGCTCTTTAGTGTGGCAGTTTGATGTGTTCACTGCAAAAACACAAAATCTTACCGATAAATTTTGGTCTATTTTCAAGTGCAAACATCTCACTGCACAAAACAAACAAACCATCATCCTCCTGTTGTCTTCTTCCATGTTTCCGCCAGTAGTAACATCCAGTTGTTGATTACGTCATGCAAAAAAAGAAAGTGTTCCCATTGCAGTTTTGCAAAAAAAAAGCATCTACTTTTATTCAACCCCGACTTAACGCAAAGATTTTTTAAAATGCTGCTTCGTTTCCGTTTTATTTTGTCATAATTTCAGTTTGCACAGTTCTGTGGTTAATGAAAACACAGCTACTGAGACAGAATCTGTCAGAAATGTGCCGAATAAATAAATACTGGGGTCAGTGAACGGTGCGTGCTAAAAAGTGTGAATATAACATTTATGTTATAGAGATAAATTAAAGAATGTGTCTGTGTTTGTACTGTTGGCATAAATTCTAGTGCTTTTCATTTTGAGCATGTAAATCAAACTGCAAGAGTTGCAAAATAAAAAGCCTGAGAAATTCTGCTTTGTGCATCTGTGGAAAGGAATGTATTCATGTAAAAGATTTTGTGATTGTAAATCAGAATGTGTGGTTGTAGAAACACTTTGCCAACTTGTAAAATCAAAATGCCTGAGAATCTTCGCTTTGTGCCCATCGATAAGAACTGATGTGAGCATAAAAACGGGCCAGAAATGTTCTTTTGAAAAAGGCTGTTTACAAAGACAACATGTAAAACTCTTCACTCAAGTTCTGTTATTTGGGCTACAGTTTAAATTAGCACATATAAATTATGGTTTCTTCATCTCAGCTGATTGGTTCCTGTCACTTCATATCACAAATTTAACAGTCCATTCAGAGAACAGATGGGTTCTTTATCAGAACAGAGTTTTGCGGCGCTACCGGTCCTTGAAAAGTAGCACATTTTGAAGTTTGAGGACAGACTAGCATTTGGGCGTCCCTTTAATATGAATATACCTGAGACATGCTCCTTCTCCTCTCATCTGTCATGGCTTCAACTTTGGACCATTATCCACAGACTTAAGAAATGCTTTTTTTTATTTTTTAACAAAGGCTTAGTATTCAACCTATGCAAGTTTAGACCCTTAATGCATTGAGTTGCTGATTTGCTATTTCTGTTGAAAAGCATTTGACCTGTTCAGCGTGACGTCGCGTTCTGCAGAACTCCGCCCACTCCGCCATGACGGACGTCAAAAAACACAGACATCTGGTGGCCGAATATTCGATTTCACGTAAAAAATGCTCCTAGCATTCTGCACAATCGGCTGCACAGACAGACAAACGCGTCGTTTATTCTTCTAATTTCCTTCTCTAAAAAGGACGCACAATTTTATTTCATGGTATTTGGGGTTTGCATAGTGAAGCATTAATGCTGTTTCTTTGTAGCAAGAATGTCCTTGAATTCAGTATTGAGTGCATGTTCTCTCCATCTCTGAGTGCGACAGCTTCGTCCCACAGGCGAACGTTATGTGTCAGGTGAATTTTTGTCGAAGTTGCACTGAGAGTAACGTTTCTTAGCCCTCGACTGTCATCCATCCAGCAGCCCAAAGTGTTTTTGAGTTAAAAATGTTTAAAATTTGACAATATCTCTTTATAAGTATATGTTATAGAAGAGAGAAGGATTAATATCTGTACTCCAACTATAAAGTCCTAAAAAATGCAAACATTAAAAACAAAACCTTCATAAATAAGCAACGCTAAGCCTCAAGGGGACACAAGTAAAGCCAGGCTTTTTATACACTGGGGAAACACTGATCTATAGTAAATAGTAAAAAAAAAAAAAAAAAAAAAGATGTACACAGTTATTTTTGAAGTTTTGTTTGATAAACATCATGAGATTTTTTTCCATTTCATTGAACTTGAGCTGAATTGAAGAGGAGAGGGCAGTACGAGTCTCCACATGTTTGTTTGCGTCTATTTGTTGGTTGTCTGAATAATCGAATCCTCCCGAGAGAAAAGTGGAAACATCTTCAAAGACCCGAGAGAGAGAGAGAGAGAGAGAGAGAGAGAGAGAGAGAGAGAGAGAAAGACAGAGAGAAAGAGAGCGTAATCTCGCTCTGGCGCGGGGGCTTGAACTCGTATTGTGGGTTGATTCCCAGCCCAATCAGCTTGTGGTTTTCAGAGTCCCTGACATGCAATTTTCCCTCAGTTATTCCCTTTATATGCCACCACTCCCCACCCAGCCACACATGTTTTTCTCACTGTCATCATTTCTCTCAGTAAAGAAATGCACATCGGGGTTAAGAGGCAGAGCTGAGCTGTGAATTTGCAGGATGTGAAAATCCTATCAAGTATTTTTGGTCTAGTTTCTGGTGCAACTAACTTGCTAGTTTTCAAATAAGACTACTTTAACTTACATTAGTTACTATTTTAGCAAGACAATTATTACAAGACATTTTTTCCATAAGTTAATTTATCTGCTAATGGAACCGGTACATTTTTATCAATATTGAGAAATTATTCACTTACAACAAGGCTATGCATCTTGCTGAAAAGTTAATTTTACCCATTCCAAGTTTACTAAGATATTTGCACTAGAAACTAAACCAAAATGACTTGGTAAAATGTTTTTTGCAGCGTGCAAAAGGGTTTCTGACGAGATGAAACTACGTTAACCAGAGGAACCTCAACATGTGCAAAATATCTTTAAACAGATTAGACCACATATGGCTGATATGACGTCTTTTTATATTTGTGACAGATATGAAAGGCATCGAATTCTAACATTTCTCAGCTCAGCTGGTGAGATTAATCGACTGCACGCCGATTTATTCCTGGTTACTGGAAGGTCGGGCTGCAGGAAACAAATACAAGGATGCAAACCAAACTTGCCACTTTAATCATAATAATTGATCAGCTATTAATCATAATGACTGATCAGCTGTTGATCATAATGATTAATCAGCTGTTAATCATAATGATTAATCAGCTGTTAATCATAATGATTAATCAGCTGTTAATCATAATGATTAATCAGCTGTTAATCATAATGATTGATCAGCTGTTAATCATAATGACTGATCAGCTGTTAATCATAATGATTAATCAGCTGTTAATCATAATGATTGATCAGCTGTTAATCATAATGACTGATCAGCTGTTAATCATAATGATTGATCAGCTGTTAATCATAATGATTGATCAGCTCTTGGTATGATCACAAATTTGCAGCACACACTTTTTACAAGGTAAGAAGATTGTTTATTTACTTAATAAGTAAGTATGATTAGAAAGATATCAAATATTTTTATTGATGGAGAAGGTCTAACCGTCGGTAAACATGGAGGCACCGTCATGTAGCCTAGCATGGAAAATCTGGTTAGTGTCTCTGGTTTTGTACGTTTTTATTGCTGCTCCGGTGAAAAGGGAAACGCTGTTTCTGACATAGTGACTTAAATCATGTGGTGTGAATTCAGGGAACTTGAAGAATCTGAATTATTGAGTTGCAACAACATTTAATTTCCATTTGGGATCAATAAACGCAATATTTTTGAATTGAAGTTGTTGCTCTTTGTCATTTCTTTGTCTCTGCCTTGATGTTCCCTCCAGAGTCTATTATTATCTTCCTTTCGGTGAAACTTGAATTACCTGAGCTTATTACGTCGCAGGTTTCCATATGACGGCGGCGTGTTTGGACTGATGTCTGCTCACAGTGGATTTGTTTTCAGAGATATAGGAGGAAAACTGGGAAAAGGTACATATTTATCAAATTTATTGCTCTCTTTTCTTAGCCAAGTTCCACATCAACAATGTTTTTTTAACCTGAAGTGCTAATGTTGCATTGAGCATCCCTTGGGTCACAACATGCATTTCATTTGCTCTGAGAAAAGATGATGCCTTTCAAAGATTAACATCTCAGACGCCTACTTTCCTCTCCAGAGATAAACCATCCTTAGTTTATTGAGCCGTCATCTTAATTGCAACAAATCAAGATAAAGCGCTCCTTTTTTCATCCTGTTCTCTTTGCGGCGCTCCCCCTCCTCTGATAAAGCTCATCCTCTTCTGTCCCTCAACACCCCGGCCTCCGTAACACTGACCTCGTCCCTCTTTCCAAATGTCGCTTTCCTCCCACCTCCCTTTTAAGTCGACCAAGGGAAGTGGGGATATTGGAAAGTGAGATGGGAGAATGTTCAAACTGGGGCTTGTTTTCATTTCATGTTTAATTTCCTGACGCCTAAGCCCTCGGCTTCTCCACGCCTAACCTTCTCGACCTCTGGGAAGCGTGCAGACGAGCGCGGCAGACTGGGGCGCTCTCGTCTGCACACACA